CTGTAACGACCTTGAGGGCCAAGGCCGAAGCGCAGCCTGGGAACAGCCCCCGGCAGCGGGATCAGCCCCGCGGGACTCCCAGAGGCCCAGAAATACGGCACCAGGAACAGTGGGAGTACAAATCTTTATTAAAAATAAGATCCTATGAAATAAAATAGGAAAGCAAAGGCCTTCTCCCACTCGCTTCCTCCCTGCTCCTTCCTTCAGGGCACTTCTGTGGCTTCACTCCTTAATGAGTCACAGCAAATCTCTGCTGGAAAACACGGAATTAGGCCAAGTAACGGCGCAGAGGCAACACGGGAGGAGAATTTTCTGGGCCATTTCTGAAAAGGGAGATAGCGGAGAGCGCCTGGGAGTGACAGGTGGCGGGGAGGTGTCACACAAACTCCTGCACTCGGGGAGGGAAGAGCTTGGCGTGGGGGGATTCGCCTCACGCCGCCCACCGAGCCCCACCAGAGGCCCCGGCCGGCGCGTCCCGAGGCTCCAGAGGGTCAACCTCACCCTGTTCTGTCCTCTAACAGCTCCCTCCACAAACGATTTAGCGCTTGGCGATCGTCTGGAGATAATCTGTGCCCAAAGCCCCCCGCTAGCCAGAGGGCTTTGTGCTGCACTTACCCCCGCTGCGCTCACTGCACCAGCCTGTAGGTGATGTAGCGGCCCGCGGTCTCGCTCGGGCGAATGATCTTCACCACCTGCGAGGCCAACGGGAGGGGCTCAGCGGGGGGGGGACGACTGGCAGTAAGTTCCCCCCGCCACGGGGGCTCTATGGCTGCGGCACTCAGCAGCCACACGGCTTCAGGTGGGGATGCAGCGTGGAACCGTCCCCCCCTGCGAGGGGAGGGAGGTCAGAGCGCGGGGCTGGGTCACACCTGCAGCTGTCACGATCCCACCACGTCCCTGCCAGACACACCCTTGGCTGACACAGACCCACCCCCGACCTACAACAGCCTTCCCCAAAATGGGGATCCTGCCCGCAGAAACCGCTGCCCCAGGCCAGTTCTCTCTTACCTGACCACGCTTGATGCCGAAGTAACGGGCCACGGGGTCCCCGGCCTGGATCCTGGGGAGCTGGTTCTCCCTCAGTTTGCTGCGCAGGGGGTCAAGGAGCAGCTCCCCTGGCTCACGGTGCAGTTACCAACCCTCACACACCCACCTGCGGCCCGGAGGAGCAAAGGATACTATCTGGCCAGCAGCTCAGTTACTTCTTCCTTTGTCATCACAACGTGCTCAGGGACCAACTGGAAACAACAGGGGAGAGACTCTGTAAGATCAGGAAGGCAGAGACTGGCTCCTCGCAGCGACGGGAGAAGCCACATGTTTGTAAGGAGGAAAAGTGCAACTGCGAGGCTCAGCCCGGCCCTAATGCCGGGGAAGGTGGGTGGGAGCGGCCCAAGCTGCGGCCTGGCACAACGGAGCGCTCCCCCCACGCTCACCTCATGCTCCGTGATGTTGATCAGAAGCTCCTGCTGCAGGAACTGCTCCAGGATGTATTTGGGAGCCATGTCCACCAGGGACTAGGACGGGAACGGCCTGTCAGGCGGCAGCACTGGGCGAGACAGTCCTGCCCACACCCGCTCCTCGATCAACCCCCGCGTGGGGTCAGACACAGACAGCGGTGCAGGGTCCCCCCACGGGAGAGCGTCCCCTTTTCTCTCACCCACCGCCCACGGGCGCTCAGCTGCTCTTCCGGAACCAGAACCACCCGCCCTGGTTAAACGCACTTGCACGTTACGCCAAGGCTCGTGTTAAGGGACAACAAGCTTTAGCGAAAGGTTTGATCTGGAGGGAAATCCCGGGGGTTTATTTGCCTAAAGCAGCACCGAAATACAGCCAGGCCCAGCGCCCCGGGCTCGCACCGCCCCGGCCGCCTCCTCCCGCGGCTCTACCTGCTTTGCCGACGGGGTCATGCCCTGCTGCACCACGATCAGCGCGCGGGTGATGTTCTCCTCCTGCATCCGCTGGCAGTACATCTTGATCGTCTTTATTCCGACCTTGGGCTCCTCTGGGAAAGGGTCACCCCAGTGTCACACGGAGCCCCCTCACCCCGCTAA